CAGGGACAAGGCCGCTGTCCCCCCCCCGTGTCACCTGAACCCCCTGGCGCTGCTGCAGGCCCTGGACCAGGTGCTGCCCCCCCAGAGCATCCTGGTGGCCGACGGAGGCGACTTCGTAGCCACGGCCGCCTACACCGTGCGGCCACGGCGGCCACTGGCCTGGCTGGACCCTGGTACGGCCACCCCCGGGGGGGACACCTGGGGACACCTGGGGACAGCTTGGGGACAGCATGGGGACACNGCCCTCGGGGCCAAACTCTGCCGGCCCGAGGCTGAGGTGACAACGGGGACAGTGGGGGGACAGCGGGGACAGTGGGGGGACACTGGGGGATTGGGGACATTGAGGGATTGGGGACATTGGGGACAACGGGGACATGGGGATGTTGGGGACAAGGGGACATTCGGGGACATTGGGGGGACACTGGGGGTGATATTGGGAGGACATTGGATTGGGGACATTGGGGAGGATATTGGGGACAATGGGAGGGACATGAGGACAATGGGGACATTGGGGACATTGGGAATGGGGGGGCAATATGGGGACAAAGGGACACTGGGGACAACGGGGACATTGGGGACATGGGGACACATTGGGGACATTGGGGACACTGGGGGATTGGGGACATTGAGGGGGATGTGAGGTGACACTGGGGACACTGGGAGGGCCGGAGGGTCCCCAGGGCCACCCTCTGGGGACACAGGTGACATTTGGGGACATTGCCAGGTGTGGGTCCTGTACGGGGACGGCTCGCTGGGCTTCAGCCTCATGGAGTTCGACACCTTCGTGCGCCACAAGGTCACTGTCACTGTCATTGTCACCTGGCACTGTCACTGTGTCCCGTGTGTCCCGTGTGTCCCCTGTGTCCCAGCTGTGTCACCCCCGTGTCCAACTGTTCCTGTCCCCGGTTGTGTCCCCGTGTCCCCGCTGTCCCCAGTTGTGTCGTCCCCCTGTCCCCGCTGACCCTGGTTGTGTCCCTGTCACCTCTGTCCCTGTCCCTGTACCCGTTTGTGTCACCCCTGTCCCCATGTCCCGGTTGTGTCACCGTCGCTGTCGCTGTCCCCGTGTCCCGGTGTGTCCCCGCTGTCGCTGTCACTGTCGCTGTCCCGGTTGTGTCCCCGCTGTCACTGTCGCTGTCCCGGTTGTGTCCCCGCTGTCGCTGTCACTGTCGCTGTCGCTGTCCCCGTGTCCTCGCTGTCACTGTCACTGTCACCGTCGCTGTCGCTGTCGCTGTCCCCGTGTCCCCGTTGTCACTGTCACTGTCACCGTCGCTGTCCCCGTGTCCCCGCTGTCGCTGTCGCTGTCGCTGTCACTGTCGCTGTCGCTGTCCCGGTGTGTCACTGTCACCGTCGCTGTCGCTGTCCCGGTTGTGTCCCCGCTGTCGCTCTCCCGGTTGTGTCCCCGCTGTCACTGTCACTGTCACCGTCGCTGTCGCTGTCCCCGTGTCCCGGTGTGTCGCTGTCGCTGTCACTGTCGCTGTCACTGTCACCGTCGCTGTCGCTGTCCCCGTGTCCCGGTGTGTCACTGTCACTGTCACCGTCGCTGTCGCTGTCCCCGTGTCCCGGTGTGTCACTGTCGCTGTCACCGTCGCTGTCGCTGTCACCGTCGCTGTCGCTGTCACTGTCACTGTCACTGTCACTGTCACTGTCACTGTCACTGTCACCGTCGCTGTCACTGTCGCTGTCACTGTCACTGTCACCGTCGCTGTCGCTGTCCGCAGGTCGCGGTGATCGCTCTGGTTGGGAACGACGCCGGCTGGACCCAGATCAGCCGCGAGCAGCTCCCCCTGCTGGGCAGCGCCGTGGGCTGCAGGCTCAGCTACAGCGGTGAGTGACCCTGAGTGACCCTGAGTGACCACTGACCACTGACCAACTGACCACTGACCCCTGAGTGACCACTGAGTGACCACAGAGCACACACTGACAGTGCTCAGCTCCCCCTGCTGGGCAGCGCCGTGGGCTGCAGGCTCAGCTACAGCGGTGAGTGACCACTGACCACTGAGTGACCACTGACCACTGAGTGACCACTGACCACTGACCACTGAGTGACCACTGACCACTGAGTGACCACAGTGACCACTGACCACTGAGTGACCCTGAGTGACCACTGACCACTGACCACTGAGTGACCACTGACCACTGAGTGACCCCTGAGTGACCACAGAGCACACACTGACAGTGCTCAGCTCCCCCTGCTGGGCAGCGCCGTGGGCTGCAGGCTCAGCTACAGCGGTGAGTGACCCTGAGTGAC